CTCGGCTCGGTAAAACCTGGGTCGGACTCCACGCGCGCCGTCTCTCTAGCGAACCTACCAAGTCCCAACTTGGGGAAGCGCCTGGTGCACGATGGGCTGCCAAAGGAAAGTCTCCCCATCCACCCAAACATCGAATACCTTCTCTTCCCGCCACTTCATGCCCCATTCCACATGTTCCGAGCGCGAAGCCACCAACAGTGGGATGAATTACATACATCTAACTACGACGCTTGTTGAATCCTTCAACGCTCTCGCCGATGAGGTCCAGATCCTGACGGACAGGAAGACGATCCTGGAGCACAAGCTCAGATTCGCCCACGAGCAGGTGAGTTGAAACGAAACGCGCAGGGGTTTGTCAGCAGAGCCACTGCTTTGCGACACTCTCCTCACCACCTCCAACATGATGAACAACCTTAGCTCTAGATCAAGAGCTCCTTCCACAAGGGGCGAAGACTGATTCCTTTTACCATTTTCTGACTTTGCAATTTTGCAACTCCCCATCACTTTCGTCTCCAGGCGAGCCTCGGTGGTAACTCTCGCTAATCGGCCGACCTTCACAGTACCAGTACTTGGCCGACAAACATGCTCCTGCTGCCCCCGAAATCTCCGAAGTATTGGCAAAGTTACAGCTGCCGCCTGAACTCGCGAATCCATCGCTAGAAGACGCCAACCCCGTACCGCTACCGAAGCGCAATAAGCTGGACACCCGAAATCAGATTGCTCTCATCATCCGAGACGGCCGGCGCGTTGCCCAGCAGCTTACGTCAATCGGCGAAACGAGTAAGACGAGCGACTCTAGCAGAGAGACTTCATCTCGTGAGGCACAGACCGGAACTTCCATGTCTACCGTGCTCGAGCAAGACTTCACAATCGAGGGGAAGAAGGGGCCTTTGGAATGCCCTTTCTCTTCCCAGAAGGCGGACAGCGCAGGCGAGGGCGATGGCGAAGCGCATAGCGCCGAGAAGGGCTCCCAGGACCCTACTCCGCACCACTCTACGGACCCTATCTGTGCCGCCATGTTCGAGGAATCAACATCAACGCCTGCTCCCGGCGCTGCCGATTCCCCCGCCAAATGTCCGATTCGCTACCTAGACCAACACTCCCCAGAAGAGATTGCACATTACGTCGAGACACACAAGCACGAGTTGCCTCGCAGCCACGAGGTCTGTGTGAGAAGATACCAAAAGAATGAGGTGCAAATCAAGAAGCTGGACGCGAAATACGGCAATCTGGTGAACATGATTCAGGGGCTTAGTGCACTACATCAGCCAATGTTGCCAGAGTCACAGCAGGAGCAGGAAGAAATCGAACGGGCCTCAAATGAGAGGGTTCACAACTGGGCAAAGGCTGTCACAGACACGACGGTAGAAGATGCTGAGCAGTCTCAGCCGGAGCCCGAAGATGCAGATGAGGCCCGACAGAGCCACTTCGACCGCACGCTCAAAGAGGTTCGGGTGGGCGAGTCTCCTAGCCGTCCATGGGGCATTTCAGTCCCAATCTATGAGCCTCATGGTATGGGAGACGAAGAGCGTCCCCTTTCACCTCCTCCAGCACCCGTCTTTATGCCATCTGGTTCTGAAGGCGAAGAAACACCAGCGCCAAAGACTGGCAAATGCCCCTTCGATCATACGAAGATGGCAGCGATGGCAGCCGCTCGTGAAGAGGCCCAACCTGTGTCTCCTACACCAGCTCCAAAGCTCATGTCAAACGAGATAGGCGAGGATGTATCGCCGCCGAAGCCTGCAGGAAAATGCCCTTTCGATCACGCTCAACTTGCTGCAATGGGCTTCGCGTCGCCTCCGCCAAATACCGGCGATCAAACCTTTGTCCACCCCGAATCGGATCCTCAACCTATCGAACTATCGACGCCTGTGAAGCCGCAGCCGTCTTACAGCGCCCCCCCTCAACAACCGACCTTCATCAACCCACCTCTCGACGCGAACAAGCAGTTTACGCCGAATGGCGTGCCACAGATGGTCTTTACTGGTCCAGTATTCATCGGCTATCCCATCGAGCAGGCGATCCAGTTCATGCAACACTTCCAGGGGAGGCAATAGTGGTCTGAGCTCATGACGCCTTCTAATCTTTGTTTCTCTCCATTTTCCGTTTTTCACACACGGTTTTCTATTTTCGGGAAAGGGCGGCGTTCGTCTGTTTTAAGCGAAGGCGTTGGGATGTGACCTTTAATGCAGAGCTAGTTTTCCTCGTCCATCTTCATGGACTTTCCTTATTCCAGCTACATCCCACGGTGTACTGCACGAGCTTGATGTACAGATTGACGAGGCCGAGAGGAGGGAAATGGTATGAATGGACGCAGGAGGAAAAGCAGACAGAACTCGTCCATATGATACCACACAAGACCAGAAATGAGACATTGATATCACGAGAATACTATTGCTACTCAATATGTGCTTTCCCTTACGTTGCCCTGGGCATTATCTTTCTGGTCGTCATTTTGTCCTGGGATATTTCAGTCGTGTTTGATGTCTAGAAGCAGTATCTAGTGCCACACCAAGTCTAAGTCTACAGGGCCGTTGCTGTCCGTTTTAGAAACAAAAAACGCCTTAATCCGAATCCTTGAACCCGACCCCCTTTCCGTTGTGTTCATCATCAAACGGATTCACGGGACCCTCACGCCCGATTTTCTGCCCGCTGCCTTCGTTTTCATCGTCATCGTCATCATGATACCCGCCTTCCTCATCAGCCTCACGCGCCCACAACGAAATATCGTCATCGTCCATGAGCGCCGCTACATCCTCCGGGTCCACGAGGCCGGCCTCAACATCCGAATAGTCGGGTGCGTCCTGGCCGGGCACGAGACCGCCTTCGGTCTCGGCCTGTTCCAGGGCCAGCTCGGCAGCGCGGGCCATGGTACGTTGGTAAATGAGCCAGCCGACGACGAGGCCGACGAGGCCACCGAGGATCATGGAGATGTAGTTGATCGCCTTACCGCCGGCCGTCATCTCGTCTCCCTTTTCGGCGATGAGGGCGAGGCGGCTGCCGATGAAGACGTGAACGAGAAGCTTTGGACTATTGGGAATCTTCTGTTAGTTGTGCTAGAGCTCGGGGAAGTGAGGCTAAGACACAATAATTAGGTCCTTGCTGTGCTTACCTGGCAAGGGCGGTCGAGACAGCAAACATCCAAGGCTTGATGGAAGGGATCGTGGACAGGAACCCGTTGGACAAGCTATACGGCAGCGGACAGAAGCGCACCGCCGTCAGCATGCCAATTCCGTCCTTCCTCAGCACCTGGCCCAGCGCGATGAACCGGTGATCCTGCCCGACGAGCTTGTGCACGTAACCGCTAAAGATGCCCCTGCTCGTGTAGAACGCCGTCAGGCTGCCCGCGACCGTGGCCGTCGCAACGATGGGGTAGCCCAGCGGGAACCCGTAGACGAAGCCCGACACCGAGATGGCCGTGCTGTAGCCAATCATGGGCGGGAAGGCCGTCATGAAGGTGAAGGCCCAGATGATGAGCCAGCCGAACGGCAGCGCGCGCCACTTTTGCGACACGGGCGCCAGCCACTTGAAGATTGCGTGCGAGTAGATGAGAAATAGAAGACCCAGGACGTTGACGACGAGGAGGAACGCGGCGACGGCCACGCGCTGGACGGGGCTGAGGCCGAGGTACATGCTCCAGAGGCGGTTGCCGGCCTTGACGGCGGAGCGCACCGCGCGGTTCACGCCCGATAGCGCCGTGGTTCGCCTGGAGCCGGATTGGCCCCCGCGGCCGAAGCGTGCCGCGGACATGCGGCGGGTGGTTGTCGTTCTCGAGGAGGACGAGTTGCCGCCGATATTGCGGATCCACGGCGGGCGGACGTCGGCGTGGGCTTCGGAGGGGGAGGACGGGGGGTTCGGCGAGAGGGAGAGCGCCCTCGCTGCTGATTCGTAGTCGGCCGGCATCGTAGGTAGTGAATCGGGGACCTGAGGAGGCAGAGGCAGTTGGAAGTATGGTGGCTTTTGGGGCCCCAGAGGCTCCGGATACAGGAAGCTATTCGCGGGGCTTCGAGCAGTCGATTGCACACTCGTTTACCGTAGTTCGTCTCTTTTCGCAGTTAGAATTATAACTGAATCACTCGAAATTTTCTGGGGCCATCTCGAAAAAAGGACCAATCTTTGATAAAAGTACAGACAGAAATGGGAAACAGTGAATAGTGATGAGGGAGGAGAATGCGTCGCAATGTCGAAGGAGCTGACCTCACACACCGAACGCGATGAGGTAAGCTGCCTAACCAAAGTGTCCCAAGCCACACCTAGAGACATACGCAAGGTCCGCGGTTAACTTCCATGGATCGCCGGGCCCGTCAATGCGGGCGGGCTGCTACCTGGCCAAAAATGACCGGGGTTCTCCAGGGTCATTGGAAATGCCCTAGTACGACGTACCTTATTTTAGTTGCCCCAGAACGTACGGATACACGTATAGAAGAAGGGCCATGGAAAGAACCCAAAGTACGTGAACTTACGCAAGGAAAAAAACTCAGACTTGGAACATCGAGGCTTGCTACCGTTCCTGATGACGACGTTTACAGAGCATTACCTAAAGAGCCCGTTTCATGGGAAAACGCAATGAGAGTGTCTCATGTTTCCTGTGAACGGTTTCAATTGCATGGCATACAGGGGGTTCGATGCATAAGGCACTCGCACGTCCCAAAATGGCAGCCGCTGTGCATCCCGCCCGTCCACGTCGGTCTGCCTGCCGACTGACCAGCCATTGTCTGGCGCTCTCCAACATTCGTAAGGGCTCCACTCGAGCTGGAAAGCTCCTTGTGCTTCTTCCCTGCATGAACTCAACCTACCGTAAGGTACGGATACCCGCCCAATCTTACCTAGACGCGGCTTTACTTCCACCGTCGTCATCGGCAACAACACATCACTGTACACGCCAGGGCCTCAAGATAATGTTGATAGAGGAGTTCGCTTCCTGGAGCGTCTTGTTGACATTTTCTACTTGCGGTTCTTTCTACTTTATTGTCTTTTCATCCCTTCTAGAAAGCCGGTTGTCATCGCCGCCCACTAGGCCCCTTCGGAGGATCCCTAACAAGCATCCTGACTTTGCCGTCCCCAATCTCCACACCCTGACTCAAGATATCAACCTCCTCTTTACTGTCGTCTGCACTCGACGTTCCTTCACGCGCCAACGACTTGTCGTAGCTTCGAGCATCGATGCCCAAGATGCCGCCCATATTGTTGCGATCTCCAGGGACGGAGAATTCGCGGTAAGCGTACCTCCACTCGTTCAAGAAGTTACGAATCGCCTTGCCGACCTTGTCCTTGCCGTTCTTACTGTGGTGACCGGTACCGGTAATGGCGTAAATCGGTCGGGTCTCCTTGCCGTTCTCCATCAGAACCCGCTCAAGGTATTCCACGGCTTCTTCAGGGTGAAGTCCATGTAGGTCTACATATATCTCGGAACTGTTCGCAATGCCTCTGTTGCGTTCCTCATAGAGCTCGCGCGCTGCTTCCCGATGTGCCTTCCGCATCAGGTCGTTCTCGCTCTGGCCTCGTAGACTCAGAGCTTTGGCAGCCCTAGCATCGTTCCGGTTCCATGCTTGAGCAGCGCTGGTTTACTGGTCAGCCTAGCGAAATATCATCGAGACATTGCTGGTCTTACCTCTGGAGGAACTTATTCCTGAGACCGCCGTGCTTAATAGCTTCTTGTCGAGCTTTGAGGTAGGCCTTGTTGGCTCTTTCGCCGGTTTCTAGCCACGGAATGTGTTTCGGATTCTGGATCGCCTGTGCTGCCGCGCTGTTTTCCCCGTTCCGAATATTGGTTGAGCTTCCATTTCGTCCAATCTTTTTGATATCTTGGCGGAGCAAAGCTGGCCCTGGAGACGGCGACATCTTGACGATTTCAGCGAGAGAGTTTGGTGCGTAATTTTCCTTATGATTGTGGCCGTGTCCACCCCTTTTCCCGTGGTGTTTCTTGCCTTGCTTCGCCGCAGCAGAGCCTAGAGTAGGGAACGCGTCTGCATCGTCCAGCGACGGAGCCACAAGTTCCCTCGCTTGCTGGTGTCGGCTTCCTGGGCGAGATCTAGACCGAGGGCTGTCACTCGCGTAGAACGGCTTCAGGCCGGGTGGGGGCGTAAGCCCGATTGTAACACCAGGGCTTCCGCTATAACTGCCAATGTGATCAGGCGTGCCGGGTGGAAGTGCTGGGAACAAGTTCAGATCGGACAAGTTGGCCTGCTTTGTTGGCGGAGTACTGGCGCCGTCCAGCGCCAGCTTGTTCATCAGATGCGCTGGGTCATGAGAGAATATGCAAGTTTCGCCAGCTAGACAATTGCCCATTACCCAGTATCTTGGAAGGCATATTAGCTGAAACTGTACTCAAAGCTGGAGTAGAATATACTAACTTGCACAAATGATTGCTCAAGTCATGACTGAATCTGCAATCTGCCCTTAAACATTGTCCCGTGGACATGTAGAATTTGCAGATGACGCCCGACCTTTGTCCAGCTGGGGTACTGGGCCGTCCTTCTGCAGCAAGCGCCTTTCCTATCAGAGACACCTTATTGTCGTCGGGCTGCGAGGTGCTATATCCGTTTTCTTGCGCCTGACTTTCCATGATTGATGCAATCGTTGCACTTAGGTCGTAGCCATGGAGGGCAAGAGCTGCTTCAATCTCCTCATCGGTTCGCGTCCGGCCGAGTATTGAACGCAGCATGTCATATGGAGACATGTCAGCTTGCTGTGACGACATGGAGGAAAACTCAGGGGCAGCAGCATTCAGACCACTTGAGGTTCCGACAGATGATGTGACGCTGATAGCATCATCGGCGACAAGCCACTCCACGTTTTCCGTCTGATAGTCGCCAAAAGTTTCATGAGAAGGTGACCTGTCGTTTGCGAACTCATATGCGTTCAAGTTCGGGCTATTGGGTATGGCGGGTGTCGCAAATGCGAGTCTCGGAGAGGGTCTCGGAGAGGAGAAGGGAGAAGCCGCAGACGATTTCGTTCTCGTGAAAGATGGAGTAAAGGACGGAACAAAGCCTGCAGGGGCCAAAGGGCTGACTCCAAGCCTGGGCGAGCCAGAGAGAGGAGTGGCATTTCCGCGCCATGATGCAGGTGATGGTCGCCGCAAGATAGTCTGACGGATAGGGGGAGGGGAGGCCGCCAGTCCACCTCCGTCACGGTACCGCCATAGGACATCCAGGATCGCATTATCTAGTGAGGAGCCATTCAGAGTCGTCTGGTTTCGCAGGAGATCTTCTAGCTTGTCCGTCTTGTCTTCGTCCTCGAGGGTGGCATCCTGGAGAATCGGTAGGCAGATCTCGTAGTGCTCGTCGGAAACCATGTTTGCGCGGTTTGAGGCCGATACGCAGGCCTGCGTATAGCAGATAGAGGCAGCAAAGGTGCGTCAAGAGTAATGTATTGCGTGCGTGTGTAATGGTTGGAGCCGAGACCGTAACGGCGCGTCTATAGATGGTATTCGGTCTTGGGTTGAAGCGGAGCGACTACTACGTAAGGCTGACGGCGGGAGTGCAAAAGCAGCGGTTGCGGCGGCGTCAGGCAGGGCTTAGGTGGGAGTTGAAGTCGGATGTCAGCCTTCGCGGATGGCCGTGGGGGTTGAGTTCGAGGGTGGACGAGCCGTCCTGTCCGCCAGTGCAAAGTCAGAACAACTAGAAACAGGATACGCTGAAGTCTTGTGTGTACTTGGAAGAGTGTTCGAAGAAACGCGAACGAGTTGGCGATGGGAGCGAAGTTGGTGGGCGGTATTCGATGGTTCCGTCACATGGTTTCGGAGCCAGGGGCAGAGGGGGGATCGTCTCGAGCTTGCTATTGAATGAAGCGGTCGGTATTACGGGCATAAGGTACGCGAAAGAAAAGAGGCTTCCTCTTTTGGATGGACTTGGGTTGCTCGCAAACTGAGCCTTTGTTGCCAGCCGTTGAAAGGCTAAGGTAGAAGCGAGACACGACGGGAGGAAAATGGGAGATTTGGAGATGGTGGTTTGGATGGCGGAAATGCAGCCGGGTGCACGTCGTCGTCCCCCTTCAGCTGAGGACGGGGCCACTTGAGGGCGGCAGAGGTAAGGTGAGTTGCGGTCGGGGACTGGTGCGTGCGTGCTTCCTGCGCTGCTGCTGCACCGCTCCTGTGGATGTAGACAAACAGGTTGAGGCAAGGAGAGAGAGAGTCCAGGAAGGTACCTAGGAAGGGATGATGCACCACCCACCAGCTGGCCAACAGCTCTTTGGGGGTCGGGGAACTGGGACCCGGTGTCAGTGGACTCACGCTTAGCGGGCACGTACCGGAAAGGAGCCAATCTCGAAGCACACTAGGATATCCGGGACGTACCCCCCAAGAAGCACACCTCCCAGTTGCCCATCCAGTGGTCCACTGATGGGAGTCCTCAGGGACAACCACAACGGGGTGGGGCAGCTGATGATGTACGTACCTTATTGTATCTCACCCTCCCATCCCGGGCAGTGACATTTTCATCCAAACTGTTCGAATTCAAGAATGCCCAAGATTCTGACTTCAGTGACAGTTTGAAGCGGGTTATGACGTGAGACCCGAGATCTAAAGATATGAGTCTATGTATACGGGCACCCTGGGAGGAAGACTAATATCTTGGTATGCTACATGTTGTGGAGTTTTCTTGCTTTTGAAGAACTACTCGGATACGTTATAGCCTTGAAAGGAAATATGGTAATATTGTCTCTGCAGTGTTAGATGCTAAGCGATGATGCACTCGGTAGCGTCCCACTAAACAAGATTGAAAGACAGATTCTCATTTATTCTGTGCTTCCATTGAAGCCGATCCTCTGTTCAGCTCTGCCCTTACCGGCTACAATACGCCCTTTGTACTACTCTGTCCCGAGTCGCTCCGTCTTAGTGAGTAAGCTGACCTTGATAATACCAGAGCAGGGTTCAACCAAGGAGCCTTCTCTGCACTCTGTTCCCAAATACCATTCGGTTGAGGACTGCCTTGGAGGTGTGTCGGATAAAATACGGCCACGAAATCATGAAATGGAGATACAATGGTGGCCCTTCTCCGTCCTCATTGGAGTAGGTAGCTATGTCTTCGAAAGGAGTGAATGATGTACTCGGAAGACAAAATCTACCAAGGGTCTCTGCCTTTCGGTATTGAAAACCGTCATGCTCTAGAATGCCATATTATCATCTACAATAGGCATCTCAAGGGATTTCTTCATCATCCAGGTCATCCCCGAATCCGAAGCTGAAACCACCTCCGTTGGCCTCTGCTTGGTTTCCGCCTACTGCTTCCTCCCACTTCCTCTTTTTCTGGATGCTCTTCTTCTCTAAAATCAGAAGAGCCTGTTCTAACAGGTCCGGCTGTTCCTGGCGGAGTCGCTCAATGAACAATGCGTATGGATCAGCTACCTCTTGCTTGAAACCAGAAACTTGGTCTGGCTTGTCCTTTAAGAACAATATAACTTCGGAGAGCTGGTTCTTCGGCACGAAGTTTTGGGTCAGTGCGATTCCGCTTTCCAAATTGACCACTAGATGCCACCATCCACTAGGCACATGTAGAATTTCCCCCTCTTGGCAGATACCCTCCACGCAGTCGGGTGACCGACGTGCTTCTGCATGAAACTCGAGAAGCCATTCTGCGATGCTCAAGGGGCTGGTGACCTCGCTGCTGTCCTGCGAGACAATCACTCCGGGGACCATAGCCGTGGGTGGAAACATGATCCAATATTTCGCACCTTGGATCACCGCGTTCCATGCACTCGTACCGTTGGGGTCCTTATGGAAAGTTGATCCGCTCCGTTCAGGCCCGATGATGAGCCAGCGATGGGCAGGCCGTTCCTTTCCCAGAAGCTCGAACAAATCCGGGCCAAAGCACTCCGGCTTCCAATAAGCCGCCCCCTCCTCTTGGCCAATCGTGATCTTCATCTTTTCGGCGAACTTTTTGTCGAATAGGTAGAGAGGGCTCTCGTCGTCGTTATTGTTCATGTACTCGTTGTATATCGAAAAGGGCCAGTCAACAGCCTCTGCGCGGAACTCTACATCGTGGTAGCGTTTCGATATGGTATCGATAGTCCAGCTTTGGCAAACAGGCCATTTCTGGATGTATTTGGTAAGAACGAAAGGGGTATCGGTCCAGTTTTCAGAGAAGTCCTCGTAGGTCAGGGTTTCCATGCGCTGAATCATGTTGCGAGTTGGTATCCTTGAGGTAAACTGCTTCAAGTCTACATGGCTGCAGACAAAAGGTCTGTGTAGAACGTCAGAGAAGACATTTCTGCAATCAATGAGTGCTCGTTGCCCAGACGAGAGCTTAAGCTGGGTAGCTCTCCAAGATCCCTGCCATTTGCCCTCGAATTTTCCTGAGCTGTGAGATCTAAGGTTGCGTTAGTAAAGTCAATGAATTACGCATCAAGGTACATGATCACGGTCTAGTTCTCTGATCGTTCTAGAATAAGAGTCACCAGAAATGCCCGGTCGTGACCAGCCCTTATCTTAATCGGGCGAAACCAACGGAGTTGGTTGACTCTCTGTAAGTCACAGCGCTTGCCAATGAACACCAATAACACCCAATCCCATGATTTCCCTCCACTCAACAAAGTGTCTGACTTACTGAAGGAATAGCGTCTTCCACAAGTCATCCGACCGGCAGAATGCGTAGAGGAACCTGGAAGTGTAGCCTAGATTTCGAAGACGATCCTCATCGAGATACTCCAAAAGGAGCATAAGAGCCTCATCGGGCAAAATTTTCAAATATCCGATGTGTTTCCGAGCGTTCGGACGGTCCGAGAGATACTGGTTGCCCAGCGGTTTCACTCCTAAAGGATGAGTTGGAATTGACTCAGTCGATGTGACTGCATTTCCAACGGCCTTTGAGTCATAGTCGTCGAGGCTGGTGTTGTCAGCATGGCTGTTGGTCCGGCCATTGGATACAGTGCCATGGTGTGGCACAGATGAGGTATCGTTCGCCATGTAAGGTGGTAGGTAGGCGAGTTACTAGGATCCTTGAGTCAATGGAAGGACATTGACATGTGTATGGGCTGCTTTTGGCTAAAGGGAGAGAAAAAAAAATAGTGGCGGGGGTGACGTTGGAGAAACCAGACATGCAAAAAGGGTGAAGAATCTACCTAACAGTCTGAAGTCAAAGAAGAAGGGTGTGAAAATGAGACGAGAAAAAAGCTGTACAAGGAATCATGTCACTGGGCGTAGCGGCATCGCAGGTGCAGGTGGTACGAGGCGGGTGTTGGGTAGCAGCAGTGCGTGGCGGACACATGCTTCGATAAACATGTTCTGTGACTCAATTAATGCATGAAGATTGTCTAGATGAAAATCTGGCAGGCATTCCGCCACGATGCACCCTCGAGGGGGGACGGGATGGGCGACAAGGCAAAGAAAACTTAGCAGGCAAGTGCGGCTGCTGTGCCTTCTATCGTTCCTGCTATCTCCGGCCTTCCCAGCGCTGAGTTCCGCTGTCAGAAGTCTCCCATAGCTGCACTGCTAGTGGTCGCTCATTCACTGAGGAAGGCACGGCGGGTGTGCCCTAATCACCCATCCTGCCTGTTCCGTTTAGCGCCACCTCGCTTACCGCATAAATCGAGGGGCCGCCCGCCGCCAGGAAATTTTTTACGTGGTCAAGAATTCCTGCAGCTGCTGATAAAAACTTCGTCTCCCACCCCGAACAATCAACGTGCACCATCACCCCACGAACAACCAAACCAAACGCACCTTTTTTTCCTAGATTCAGTTCTACTCTTGCGTTTCGCCAAGAGTATCGGATCTAGTTGAGACTTTAATTCATAGACTTCGATTCGTCGACATATTTCGCAAAACTCTCCAACGAGACGTTTGCGATTTTCCAGCCCCTCGCCAAACCCCACCTTCGCGACGATATTTCTAGATCCCAAGCTGTGCTTGTGATCTAGATTTTTTCCACAACACAACCGCAATCATGGCTGACAAGGGTCTTGAGGATGTGCCTGAGGGTAAGTCTTGCGACAACATACGAGGAATCGTGGGCGCGGCAGTAGAAGGCTTCGTATTTCGACTCTGAGGTCGTCTACGAGTGACCGACCGACCGCCTCCCCCTCCCTCTCCCCAGCGCTTAGCGCATTATTTTTTGAAAGACGACAAGTCGCTAACAAATATCTCCTCTCAGGCCAGATCGAGTCGAACTACGATGAGACCGTCGACTCCTTCGATGACATGAACCTGAAGTCGGAGCTCCTTCGTGGTATGTTTTCCCGCGCTCAAAATTTTCGGGCGGAAATGCCCTCACTGTGGACCATGTTGCTGACTTTGCCTTGCCAGGTGTCTACGCCTACGGTTTCGAGCGTCCCTCCGCCATCCAGCAGCGTGCCATCATGCCCGTCATCAAGGGTATGTTGAATACCTAATTTCTTTTTCCGAACACCGTTGCTCACGCTTTGCCCAGGCCACGACGTCATTGCTCAGGCTCAGTCCGGTACTGGCAAGACCGCCACCTTCTCCATCTCTGTGCTCCAGAAGATCGACACCAACGTCAAGGCTTGCCAGGCCCTCATCCTTGCTCCCACCCGTGAGCTTGCCCAGCAGATCCAGAAGGTCGTTGTCGCCATCGGCGACTTCATGAACATTGAGTGCCACGCCTGCATCGGTGGTACCAGCGTCCGTGACGACATGAAGGCCCTCCAGGACGGCCCCCAGGTCGTTGTCGGTACCCCTGGCCGTGTCCACGACATGATCCAGCGCCGCTTCCTCAAGACCGACTCCATGAAGATGTTCGTCCTTGACGAGGCCGACGAGATGCTTTCTGTAAGTTTGGATAGACTGCAATTTTGGTCGATTACGTACTAACATTATTTTTCAGCGCGGTTTCACCGAGCAGATCTATGACATCTTCCAGCTCCTTCCCCAGAGCACCCAGGTCGTCCTTCTGTCCGCCACCATGCCCCAGGACGTCCTTGAGGTCACTACCAAGTTCATGCGCGACCCCGTCCGCATTCTCGTCAAGAAGGACGAACTTACCCTTGAGGGTATCAAGCAGTTCTACATTGCCGTTGAGAAGGAGGAGTGGAAGCTCGACACCCTCTCCGACTTGTACGAGACCGTCACCATCACCCAGGCCGTCATCTTCTGCAACACCCGCAGAAAGGTCGACTGGCTCACCGACAAGCTCACTGCCCGTGACTTCACTGTCTCCGCCATGCACGGCGATATGGACCAGGCTCAGCGTGACCTGATTATGAAGGAGTTCCGTTCCGGATCTTCCCGTGTCCTGATCGCCACTGACCTTCTGGCCCGTGGTATCGATGTCCAGCAGGTTTCCCTGGTCATCAACTACGACCTTCCCGCCAACCGCGAGAACTACATCCACCGCATCGGTCGTGGTGGTCGTTTCGGACGTAAGGGTGTTGCCATCAACTTCGTTACCGCCGAGGACGTCCGCATGATGAGAGAGATTGAGCAGTTCTACAGCACCCAGATTGAGGAGATGCCCATGAACGTTGCCGACCTCATCTAAGTAACGAATTCACGGATACACGCATACTTTCTCTTTGGAACGGAACAGGCCCTGTTGTCTGCTGAGATCGATCACGCACCGGATCTGGCACTGACGCTTGAGGGTGGATTTTACTCGAGATTCATCAGGACTTGTTTGTTGATAGATCGCGGAAGGCTACCTGGCGAGTCACAGGGCGTGGCCAGCTGACCATCTTCTTGGTTGACTGCTGGACGCGCCCCGGCTCATGGGTGGAATTGAAAACTGGCTTGCATGCGGAACGGCTCACGAGTCTTTTGGCACCTTAATACCACGAAGGTGCGGCGGACTGGTACCTAAAAGAATCATTGGCAAGGGTTCTAGTTTTTGATTTTCGGTTTCCTAGTCTCTCTGTACGTAGGGGCCACGTCACGATGAATCTTCTCTTAAAAATACTCCGTGTGTCTTTCTTGTTCAGAGTGATTGTGTGAATTTGTGTCTGGGGATATGCTGTAGCAGGACGTCACAGCGAAATGCCCCAAACTCCTCTCTTGACACTCTGATCATAAGGCAGTATACCGCCAGGGTTCCAACGAAGGAAGCGGGGACAAGCATGCACGAGGCTGGGTACTTGGAAATGGCAGGGCGAATTGCTGCCACGACATGGAGCATCGCCCTCAGATGTTCCACCATACAGGCTTGCAAGTGGCCGGAGTCCATTCAGACACTAACTAATACGCAGTGCGTCGAGGAAACTGGGGCATTGAGCAAAGCCTGGCTGGGTCTTATCAAGGCACTTGGGAGAAACACCAGCCCATCGGACGAGGTTGGGCTGCGCCTCGTAGGCGGGCCGAGAATTCGATGTCTCTCTGGTCGCATTCTAGCGTAAGAAGAAGCTCCCAACGATCGTGGCTCGACGCAGCCCACGGTCGACCGTCTTGGGGGACTGCATTCCATCCTGGGCCTGAGCGTGAAGTTGAGGTGCTCATGGACGAGGCGACGACTTTTCCTCTTTACTTTCCCTTACACCGAGTTTTGTGCTACAAGAACGCGGTTTGAGAATTCTACGAAAAAAAAAAAAGACACCACGTTCATTCGCCTCACGTCAAATTCAGACTACGAGAAGGAAGAAAAAAAAAAAAAGCTCCAAAAAAATTGGTAGCTTCTCTTTGATTGAGCGTGTCATCCTTAGTGCAGGGGCCATGCTACTGTGAGGGACGTTAGTGATTGTTCCGTGATTCGAACCCGGAGCTCTTGGAATAAACTTACATCTTCTCTGTATCGTTTCAAATTGACCAAATGCCCGAAGGCGAAAGCTGAAGCCAGTTTAGCCCCCTATCAAGGCAGCAAATTGCGTGCCTCCAGGTCCGTGCCCCGAGCCTGAGGCAAAAGCCATTTCCAGGCTTCATCCTCAGGCCAGAGCTCAACAACCCCTCCTCCCCTTCACCTCAGCAAGAGAACCTGAGTGTCAGTGCCATCAAAATTTTGGTGGGGGGTTTGCAGCGTTTGCGGGACATTGGTCTTTACCCCGCCAAACACACCAAGACCCCGTCACCACCAAAGTCATTCCAGTCGAGACTCAATGTCGCTTACCACGACTAAAAGGATCCAGATCTCCTCGTGTTGCGTTTCAACCACTTGAGGATATACTCAGCATAGTGATCGTGATTTTTCTTTTATCGTTGATCACCCCGGAGACACCGGTGCAGTGCATCGGCGCGCAGACAACAATTTTTGTGGCCCGGCCGATGAGGGTTTCGAGTTGTGTGCGGGATGGACCTTGGTTGAGGGGAAGAAAAGTTTCATGCCCGGGGGATTTTTTTTTTTTTATCCGCTCCGGCTGGCTTACACCACAACAGAATCTCCCTCCCCTCCCCTCCTTGCCCTGGCCCTTCCGGCCTTTCCCTTCCTCCCTCTCTCCTCCGTCCTGTCAAGGGACCGTCTGAGGTGTTGGGGGGACCACCCCTGGGAACCCCCTTTCTGTTTCGTTTCGTTTTGGGCAGTTCATTAGGGTTGCAAGGAAGTGGGATTGAAACTTGCATTGAAACTACTGAGTATATGCAACTAAACGAAGAACGGGCCCCTTGCCATGGGGCGTGAGATGGGGAAACTGCCTCTGGGCGCACTTACACGGGGCTGCTTTGGCAGTGCATCTTCGGGGTTGTGTAGCCTCAAACCAACAACAATGCTTGGTCAAGTCCTGGCAATACTTTCTTTCAGGCCATGACTAAGGTATGACATGATAGAAACGCGGTTTATTGAGAGGCAGACCTGTGGAGTCCCCTCGCGAAGGCGGTAAATGTAGGCGCCATCAAGGACGTGGCGGTAGACGACGTACGGAGCACAGGGTTTTGGAGATCCTGAATGGCGTTCAGTCATCTCGCGCATCGGAAAAGAATATATGCTTGTTAGCAGAGACCTGACAGCTCGATAGCACGCTCTGATATTGCTCGTGTCTAAGGAAAAAGGATCGTCAAGAGTAAGATTATTCGAGGCGTGCACATCCTTCACAAACAGCTGCTAGTTCAAAATGCTATTCATCTATCTGTGAATCCAAGGTTGTACAATGTCGGATCTATCGTCAAGACATATATGCTTCAAAAGTCTAAGAAAAAGTGCTTACAAATATTATATCTGTCACTAGTCGCAAAGTCTGGTCAAATTCACAAGACAGGATATCATTTGATATCTGCCAAATGTTGCGCACCATGTTCTACAAATCACCACCAAAGGTTGAAGGACATATAATTTTTGGCACAAACTGATCAAATTATACGAAACGAGACTTGCGGAAGGGGTTCTGGTTTACCTCTATAAGTACCAAGAGGTGTTTTGCCAGTTTCTCTTCTTGTTCCGAGTCTCTCCACTCCCAAGTTACTCACTTATAATGTTTGGCTCCTGGATGCTCAACGAACGAGCCCATATAACAACTAGAAACATCAAGTACTTAGCAGCACAACACCCCGGAGTCAAGAGCTGTGATTGCATGGCAAGAGATCGGACAGCTTGCATTTCGGAACTTCTGTTTGGGGGTATATGTGTCCTGAAATTTACGACGGACCATGGGCATATCTTTTAAGTAACACATCTGTTTTGATATTGAATCAGTAAAGGACTATAGCCGTTGGTCCTAAATCAATACAATATCCCACTAAATATGTATATGGGTTCGCATGTCAATCGACCGCCCATCTGCAACCACCCAACTTTACTCGGGCAGCTCACTCCTCATCACGCCGGCCAGGCGAGGTTTCCCTTTCCTTGCCCGATCTCAACGCCAAATAACCCCATGCCAGCTTGCGCCAATCATCTGGTCCCCGTCACACCGTACCACGAGAGGCCGTATAAATATTTCGTCACTACAGCAAAGAGCCACACACTTGTCGCTGATGAGCGCATGAGCTAGTAGGTTCTCACCTACTTGTCTAGCACGACAACGGACCGTTCCACCGCCTAGATTCCGCCGGCCCGGGCCTTCTCCAGAACATCTGGGGGCGGGAGGTACTCGGGGCCAAATGACAGCGGGAGAAGCTATTTATGATGATCAGATCAAGGGTTTGCTCAATGGCGCATGTTTTGTGAACTCACGGCTTCCAGTCTCATGACTGCATACTTTCCATCCTTGTTGAACATGAGAATGGGCGTTTCCAGGTCCACAAACTCACGGATGCTAACAAAAGAAATGTCAGCCAAGGGCCGCCTCGATGGTTCATGAGATCTTTCTGAAGGTTGCGGGACGAGGGCCAGGGTATCTTCAAGGGATTGACCTACAACTGCCGGCACATGCCACACGGGCTACACGGAGCCTCAATATCGGTGGCTACGGCGACAGCCTTGAACCCCCGAATGCCCTCCGTGATGGCCTTGCCAAAGGCTACTCTCTCGGCACACGTGCCAACCGGATAAGACGCATTCTCAACATTTGCTCCAGATGTGTACTGTCCGTCTTTAGACAAGAGTGTCGCTCCCACACGGAACTGGCTGTAAGGGCAGTATGCTGTTGCCTTTGCTGCCGTTGCCTTTTGGTGAAGCTCAGTTACCTCGGCTGGGGTAAGTCCGTACTTCTTGGCCGTCTCGGCCGTCTGAGACTCATTGGCAATATCGAAAACCTCTGGTGTGAAGCCCATATTGATCTTGAGCGGAAAAAAAAGAGGTGAGTAAGAAAATGAGTGATAGAACAAAGTTGTAAGATGAGGAGTCGGATGTAATGTGTGAGATGGATCTATGAACCTATGTGTGTAGTTGGACGACGGGTCCACGGGCTGCTGCTATTAGTTTGTTCTCGGCGGTCTCTACGGTGGGAACGCCCTCTGTGAGAGCAACTGGCATGCTCCATTTATGGGGGGTCCGGGTGCCAATAGCGACCCCCGGCCGTCTCCGAATTCCGTTTGCGTCTCCTCAAAGTAATCTTTTTGCTATCAGTTTTGGAACCAAAAACCCGCAATTGCCATGATACCTCCAGTCCTCTCCCAACTATCGCAGATGTCCGTTTCCGCCTCCAAACTTCCTGCCTAGTTGGGCTGCTTACACTCATGACATTTGACCCCCGGATTGGACGGATATTCTCCCCGTATGACCATCCTTAGCATGTACGCCTCGACTTTCTGCAACCATTGGGCAACCCCGCAGTCCATTCTTAGCTGATTACATACCTTCAACGCCAACTTACGCCTTACCGAGGGGTATCGTAAGCGGGTTCATGGCACTAGGTAATCGATTTCCGTGAGCTAATGCCTTGGTTATGGGGTCACGAGATGTGCCTTGACGGGATACACTTACGAAGAGCCGCCGTCGACCACCAGGTTTGCTCCCGTGATATAGGAGCTGAAGCCCGAAGCTAGGAACCCGGCTACCCGAGCTACTTCTTGAGGGCTACCCGGTCGCTCGAGGCCTACGCTTGCTTCGGATGCCTTTGGATGACGGATGTTAGTCTATCAATCCAACGGGTCTAAGCTTCTTTTCTTCCCCCTCGTTTTTATTTATTTAACTTACTTCCTTTCCTTGCAAGGCCGCAGGCGGGAATTGAGAGTTCATTCCCTTCATATCGACCTGTAAGGTGGCACTGATCAGTACTGTTCAGCTCAGCTTGGTGAAGTAGGGCATTCTCACCCCGTTCAAATCTAGACCAACATCGATCTGGCCCGGAGAAATGCAGTTGATCCTCACTCCCGAGCCTTTGAGCACCGCAACGCCGGCCTTCACGACACCGAGCGCGGCGTGGGCCGCCATCGTGTAGCACGGCCCCCAGCACCCGCCGTACGTCGATGCCACGCTGCTGATGACGATGATGCTGCCGTACTTTTGGCTCTTTGGCGCCGCGTTCGGGTACGATTGCTTCTCCGTCAGTTTAGCCATGGCGGGGGGCGCATACTTGAGCGCGAAGAAGGGCGCCATGGAATGCGCCTCGAAGCACCGCTGGAGGTCGGCCGGTGTCGTTTCGTTGATGGACGGGGGCCCTAGCAGGCCTGCGGATGACACCCAGATGTCGAGGCGCCCAAAGGCGTTGAGAAGCTCGTCAATGAGAACTAGAGTCTCTTCTTCCTTGGCAACGTTGAATGGGTAGGGAATGATCTTGGTGTTTGGGTGCTCTTGGTGCACCTTGGTGACGAGAGGCTTAAACGTCTCGTCACTGGCTGTCTTGTCGCATGCTGGACCGTGTCATTCATTTTCTGTCATCGTTTTCACCACAAGATTCCGGTTTTAATCTTACCATATATAGAAGCGGCCCCATGCGCTGTCTATGTGTTAGTGACGCCCTCTCGAGACAGTGAATAAATTCCTACCTGCCAGCTCCTCGATGATGGCCCGTCCGACTGGCTGAGCAGCGCCTGTGACCACGCAGACGAAGCCGTACTGGCCACGATACTTAGTACACCATGCAAAGACTTTTTATGGCAACACTGACGCACAAGCTTGCCATCGGCGCGGTAGGGACTGAAGTCAACGGTTGTGTCCATTTTTACAATTTATGAGATAATGTGCCGATAAAGGTGAACCGTAACTACATGTGCGTGTGAAGGACAGAACCTGACAGTGTCTTCTCTCGGATCAAATAAGGGAAGGTAGGGTGAAATATTCAAATTCGATACAAAAATTCAGGAGCAGAAGAGGTAACCTCAAGTTGTGCCACACTTGAGGCTAGACTATGAGCGGCTCAAGCTTGCATGCCCAAACGGGCCAATGCCGTCACCAACACGCGAACTGAGATGATGCTTCTCCGAGGGAGTTGGCAGCCTTTACAGCTGACAGACTACGGAGGCGAGAATTCCTATGACCAGTGCGAAATTTATGCTGTTTTTTGATGAGAGATAAGGTTTTGCAACGTCAATCTAGACACCATCGACCCAGGTGTTTTTTCACTTCCTGACTTGAGAAACTAGTCTTTGTCTACGCTGTTCTTGAGCAGAAGGACATGGCACAACTCGGTCTGCCAAACCAACTGACCGTGATTTTCGTTACTTTGGGGTCGGCATTGACTCTAGCTCATGGTCCGCGCGGGGTGTCCATTGAATTTCGCGCCTACTCCCGATATCAGTGACGTTCAAATCATCTTTGTTTAATTGGACGATTCTGGTCTGAGGTCCGGACGACGGAGATGCTTATATCTCCCCCACCAACTTCTGCCGTATAGCAGCAAAACAATCGCCTGCCTGCCTTACAGGTTGGCCCATCATATGCATCTCGACAGTTGTTGGTCATCGTATGTGTTGACCGTCATGATATCCTATAGTGCTGATGACCCTGTTGTGATCATTGATCATGACTCTTGGCAACCTCTGCAACTTCCATATCCTGCTGATCCGCACTGGTCGAAGCAGTCAAGCTTCTAGAAGGCGAACAATACGTCGAGGTATCGCACGAGCTTTCTTTCATCCAATGTGACCCACTGCAAGGGGGGATACGTTGGTGTAATCTATGAGATTAGTTTGCTGTGTTGGCAGCGACGGTTCTGGAATGCCTTAGCCAACCATCGAAACCCATTAGAATTAAGCCCCAGCTTCTGCTGGTGTCAATGAGACCATTTGGCGCCCCACAACGAGAAGTGGAAGAGGTCCTCCTGCGGTAAGAAAATCGAGTATCGGTATGCCTGTCAGTGCTGGTTCACCTTTCCTAGAGAGACTGAGCTCATCCAGGGCTGAATTTCTCAAAGAACAATCAGTATGCCGTTCCTAGGACGACGCTGTCCGAGCAGGGCAAGAGACGCATTGACTACCCAAGGTCCGAAATCACGGACATTTGCAGGACAAGAAGGATGATCTGAACACACCCGCAACCGGGTCAACATTCTGGAAGGCCGGGAACCTCAACAAATATTTTACTACCCATATGAGACGATGCGACACAATAAAGTGCGACTACGCATGACTTAGAAGATGAGCGTAGCCTGACACTTTCGGACGATGCCATGGCGGTTTGCCAGTATTATGAGGTTTGCAGTTCGTATTATTTTGCCGGACGTTTGACCAGCTGTTGAAACATGAACGCTCATAACCAGGCTTATTTGTTTGATGAGCATTTGAAAGGGTAAGTGCCGGCCTCGGAACGCTTATGTGACAGCACCACAAGGAGGTTGTCTCGCACTCAGCTGACGACTGGTGTAAGCGAGCATGTCTGTTTGCTGGAGACTGAGCTATTCAATAAGCAGGCAATCACCAAGGGCGACTTAAATCCGATGGAGAATTGGTCCGCCGTTCCTGCGCAGCGCGTTGGATGACGATGACGGATGAGAAGCCCACCTCTACCTCTTGCCCCGCTTAGCTAAGATTCCCGTCGAGTGGTGGGGACCGGATTGTCGGAAATTGTTAATGGGCTACTTCTGCGATGCGTCGGATGCGTGGGATAAGAATAGGCTTCGAGGCGGGTTGGGGAAGGGAAATCAGGCTGAGAGAAGGCGCAAATTGTTATCAGAGACCCCTGGAAGGCGGACAAAGAGTTATTTCTGGGGCGATCAGGGTCCTACTGGTCCTCTAGGTAGGAGTCGAAGGACCGTCAAAGACCCCTCGGACCAGGTATGGACGGAGAGGACGGAGAGGCTGCAGGTATTGCATCATCAGCACCGCCACAGTGGCTGGAAAGAATTCCATGTTCTTCCATCGATTTCAATTTGGGGCCATTTGGGCGCGGGACATGCGCAAGGCGACCCGCCTTTGCAGCCTGCTTCTCCCTTTATTGTGAAAAATCCAGTGTCCCAGTGTCCCGTCACTAGCGCACTTCGGTCCATTCAGCCAAGGTACATTTCCACCGTACTCCTCCCCGCCAGGAACCTCACCCATCAATAACTTCCTCGCCAGCCCGGCTACAGATCTCCTCTCAATTTTTTCCTACTTTCCCCCGCAACTACCTACCTCTTTCTAGTTTTACATCAGATACCCAGTTGCGCAATCGCCATTCTCGGCTTCTTTCAGAAAGTGAGTACCCTTCGGTGTTTCCTGCAGCGCAAAGCGAATTGGAGTTGTGTTTTTACCCGCCAAACTAAATCCGCCTTGCCTCTTTCTCCTGTTGAGACGGCTCTACCCCGAAGCCGCCCAAAAACGATGATTTTCTCTGTTTCGACTCTGTTCTGTTCGCATCACAAAAGCGGGAATGCGCAAGACGATACTGCAGACTTGGCGAACCATTTTCGATTCATTCAGCTGACTTTTGGTCACCCAGGCCCCTCCATAGATTCCTATCCAGAACTCCGGTTATCGCCAAGCCTCAGATAAGGATTATTGTACCAACCAGCACGATGGTCAAAGAAACGAAGCTCTACGAAACCCTCGGCGTATGTTTAAACGGAAGTGCCCCTCAAAGAGCTGGGGCAGATCATTAATATTGGAATAGGTTGTGCCGACGGCGACCGAACAGGAGCTGAAGAAGGCGTACAAGACAAATGCCCTGAAGTACCATCCTGGTAAGCACCAACGAACCCGCCGCATCCTCACGGGCTTGCTGACAAGACTTCCACAGACAAGAACGCCCACAACCCCGATGCTGAGGAGAAGTTCAAGGAGATTTCCCACGCCTACGAAATTCTTTCCGATTCCCAGAAGCGCACTGTCTACGACCAATATGGCGAGGCTGGTCTCGAAGGTGGTGCCGGCGGCGGTGGTGGCATGGCTGCTGAGGACCTGTTTGCTCAGTTCTTCGGTTCCGGTGGCGGCTTCGGCGGCGGCCTTGGAGGCATGTTCGGTGGCGGCGGCATGCCTAACCGCGGACCCCCCAAGGCTCGCACGATTCACCACACTCACAAGGTCTCCCTCGAGGATGTCTACCGCGGAAAGATCTCCAAGCTGGCACTCCAGCGGTCCGTCATCTGCTCCAAGTGCGAGGGCCGTGGCGGCAAGGAGGGTGCTGTCAAGCGCTGCGCTGGCTGTGATGGTCACGGCATGAAGACCATGATGAGACAAATGGGTCCTATGATCCAGCGTTTCCAGACCGTCTGCCCTGACTGTAACGGAGAGGGCGAGACGATCAAGGACAAGGATCGCTGCAAGCAGTGCAATGGAAAGAAGACCATTGTCGATCGCAAGGTTCTCCACGTCCACGTCGACCGTGGTGTCAGGAGCGGCACCAAGGTTGAGTTCCGTGGTGAGGGTGACCAGGCCCCTGGCATCCAGGCTGGTGACGTGGTTTTCGAGATCGAGCAGAAGCCCCACAACCGCTTCACTCGCAAGGAGGACGACCTTCTGTACCAGTGCGAGATTGAGCTGGTGACTGCACTGGCCGGTGGAACTATCTACATTGAGCACCTTGACGACAGGTGGCTCAGCATCGAGATCCTTCCCGGTGAAGCCATTGCACCTGGTATGTCGAATCCTGTGCTGCCTTTATGTTCGTAATTACTAACCTACCTCAGACGCTGTCAAGATGGTTCGCGGCCAGGGTATGCCTTCTCCTAGACACCACGACTTCGGCAACCTTTACATCCAGTTCAACGTCAAGTTCCCCGAGAAGGGCTGGACAGAGGACCCCGCGGCCTTCGAGGCTCTCCAGAAGCTGCTTCCCGCCCCTTCGCTGCAAACCGTTCCTCCCCCTGAGGCTATGACCGAGCCCGCCGACCTCGAGGATCTCGACAACTCTTCCCAGGCTAGAGTCTTCGGAGGTGCTGGCGGTATGGACGAGGACGACGAGGACGGCCACCCCGGTGCCGAGCGCGTGCAGTGCGCTTCTCAGTAAATGACGTCATGTTCCGATGATATTGATATTACGAGCATCTCCGGCGTGGTAGGGGGGAAGGGGGCGTGGGCGAGATTTCTTTTCACAAACCCGTTCGACAGAACGAAATTGCATATTTTCTCCAGTCACGAATGGATGGACACGGCTGCATGAAAACGGCAAAGGGGCTCGCCGTTGGGAGACCGTTCTCAGATGGTGGGAATCAACCAGCCACGACGTCTCGCCTAGACGCCCGTGTCGGGTTCGTCGAGAATGGAGGCTGGATTCAAGTGGACCAGCACACAGTAACAGGGAAATCTGGTCCAGCGCGTGCTTATTCTCAAAACATCACTTGGCTTCTTTTGCTCGACGGACATTCGAGACTTGGTAGGAAGGCGTTCACGGTCATAGAGAGGATAATTCGCTGAATCGAATTGATGATAAACGTGCCTGAATTGCTTTTGCCCACCTGATATATGCAGTGCTCGCGACATGAATTGTAACGCAACTCCTTCTCATGTCTATTCTTTCGACGCAGGCTCGCCTTCAGCCTGCGCTTGTTCCTCGCCCTCGCCCTCCTCACCTTGCTCATCATCACCTCGCTTGCGCAAGTCCTCGGTATTGTAAAGTAATTTTCTCACCTGCTCGTGAGACATGTCGAACTCGGCCTCACTCACGCTAGCGTCCTGTATTCCAAGATCCTGAGAAGAGAAGGCGGCGCCGGTCCATCTGAAAGAGACGATACCGTTGGGTGCGGTGTCGTTCTCTGCCGGGTCAATGGTTACCAATATGCTCGTCATTGAGTTTTCGGTAGCAATCG